GAGGAGAACGGAGGAAAAAAAGATAAGAGGAGGAGAAAGAGGAGGAGGAGGAGGAGGAGGAGGGCTCCTATTTCGTTAGATCTCTTTGAATTCCTAATCCACCCTCCGCTTCTTCCAAGGAAACCTACCCAACAAGGTGTGCCGGCAGAGAGAGCAGCTCGAAAGGAGGGTTTTGAAGATGGTTTGTAGATGAATTGGGGCTGGGGGAGTGGGTGGGTGGGTGGGTCGGGGTCTGGCAGGGAGGGGAGCCTCCCTAACTTCATATATAACCTTCTGACCAGCCAAGTCAAACGGGGAAGCCACATTCGCTTAATGACCATGTTACTAACTTAATCACGTAGATGAGTCTCTTCACCGCCATGGGGAAAAAAAGGGTAGTAAAATTGAGAGCAAACTCACTTAACGACTATTTCCTGACAGTGAGAACGATGAACCCCCCCAATGGAGCTGCTTGCCTCCAGAAGTTGTAAGGGCTTTTAAGAAGAGATTGGACAGCGGTTTGTCTGAAATAGGATAGGGTTTCCTGCCAGAGCAGGGGGTTGGACTAGAAGACCTCGAAGGTCCCTTGGTAATCATAGTTGTAGTCCTGTCCTGTCCTATCCTCTATTTTCTATTCTATTCTGTTCTTTTTTCTCTTTATTCTAACCTATCCTATATTTTCTATTCTATTCCTATTTTTCTTTTCTTTCCTATATTTTCTATTCTATTTGTATTCTATTCTTTATTCTATCCTATCCTATCCTATCCTATCCTATCCAATATTTTCTATTCTATTCTATTCTATTCTATTCTATTCTATTCTAGTTCTATGCTATTCTATTCTATTCTATTCTATTCTATTCTGTCCTGTTCTTTATTCTATCCTATTCCTTCCCATCCCATCCTATTCTTGCTTAGCCACAAACACTGTGAGCTAAATTGTGGTCCCAAGTCAAAGGCTACCTGGAACTTTAAAATTAGCTCATCTGGTCATGTTTGGTCTACCTGGCAGGGTTGATGGAAGCCCCGGGGAAAGGAGAACTACGCGATGGCAGGGAAGGCTGAGATCTCTCCAGAAAGCGAGTAACTCTCTTCTTTGCCTCCACCAGGTTGCCCGATCCCAAGGGAGAGGGATTTTTCTCTTCCGGAAACTCAAGGATGTGATCGACTGGAGGAAGGTGAGATCCCACCTTCTCCTCCCCTCTGAGGAACCTTTTTGGGGCTACAGTGCTTGACGCTGCTGCCTCCAGTCTTCTTTTGGTCGTTAGACCCAGGGCTGGTCCACCATGGAAGGTGGAGATGTCCTCCTGAGCTTCTGTGATGGAACCACCCATGGGTGGTTCCATCACAGAAGCTCAGGAGGACATCTCCACCTTCCATGGTGGACCTTCTCAGCTTCTCCGTGGACTCAAAGCTTCTGATCTGGGGAGGGTTGCTGGTCCTTCTCCACTTGGGTGGCATCTCAGGTGGGTTCCCATTCCGCCTTACCCAAGACCAAAGCTCTTGAGAATCTGAGTGGAGGAACTTCACCTTCTCCCACAGCTTCCCCAGACCAACCAGAAGTCTCTTCTTAGAAGTTGGGGAGGAGGAGGAGGTGAGATGACCACAACCTACTTCTTGGGAAGCTAGAAAAATGTGGGATAGATAGCACCACCGCTAGATGGACTCGCAACTGGCTGACAAACCGTACTCAATGAGTAGTCCTTAATGGGTCTACGTCTACACGGAGGGAAGGAAGCAGTGGGTGCCACAAGGTTCCGTCTTAGGCCCAGGACTCTTCAATATCTTCATTAACGACTTAGGTGAGGGAATAGAAAGCGGAACTGACCAAATTTGCAGATGATACTAAGCTGGCAGGAGTAGCTGACACCCAAGAAGATCGGCTGGAGATCCAGATGGATCTTGACAGACGAGAACCCTGGGCCCTATCCAACAAAATGAAATTCAACGTAGAGAAGAGTAAAGTCCTACACTTATGCAAGAAAAACCAGAAGTGCACATACAGACTGGGTGAAACCAGGCTCAACAGCAGGAACTGGGAGAAGAATATTGGAGTCTTAGTGGACAACTAGCTAAATAGGAGCCAGCCGTGTGTAGCAGCAGCCCAAAAAGCCAATGCAACCTTAAGTTGCATTAACGGAGGGATACAATTGAGATCAAGGGAGGTACTAATACCACTCTGTAAAGCCTTAGTAAGGCCACACCTAGAGTACTGCATCCAGTTTTGGTCCCCACGCTATAAAAAAAGTTGTTGAGACTCTAGAAAAAGTGCAGAGAAGAGCAACCAGGATGATGAGGGGACTGGAGGCTAAAATGGTTGCAGGAACTGGGCCTGGCTAGTCTAGGGAAGAGAAGGACCAGGGGAGACAGGAGAGCATCTTCCAATATTTGAGAGGCTGCCCCAGAGAGGAGGAGGAAGGGGTCAAGCTATTTTCCAAAGCATCTGAAGGCCAGACAAGGAATAATGGATGGAAACTGATCAAGGAGAGATTCAACCAAGAAATTTCCTGACAGTGAGAACCATCAACCCATGGAAGCGAAGTTGCCTTCAGAAGTTGTGGGAGCTTCATCCCTGGAGGCTTTCAAGAAGAGACTGGATTGCCCTCGGTCAGAAATGCTGTAGGATCTCCCATTTGAGTTGGGGGGTTGGACTAGATGACCTACAAGGTCCCTTCCAATTCTGTTAATCTGAAAGATGGATCCATTTCTTTGGAGAGCCCATTGAGGGGTCTCCAAAGAGCTTCTGGGATGACTGGCTTTCCTGCCCATGGATGGGAAGGAACGTAGACTTGGCTTTGAGAAGGGGAAGAGAGTTGGGACCGTTAAGGAAGGAGAAAAATCATGGAAAGGGGAAGATGTGAGAAAGAAGCCCTTGGTTGTCTTTGGTGGAAGAGGAGGTAGGTTCTGACAATTGCGTTCTTCTGTCCTCCACCAATACGAAGCACGACCACAATCCATGCCCATTCCTGGTTCTTTACCTAGCTTACCTCCAAGGGTTCGTGGTGGGCTCTGTTCCTACGTTCCCCTGAAACCAAACAACGTAAGGATCAGCCCGGTGAGTGTCCATTTCACATGATCCCTTGGCGACTGTGGGATCATGGACTGTCCTGCATCAGCCGGTGCTCCTGCCTCACCAAAGATCTCCTGGGAACGCCTCAACCTTGGTTCCCTACAACCATCTCCGGGCTTCTCAGAAGCTTTGATGATCTACAACAGGGGTCTCCAACCTTGTCAACTTTAAGACTTGTGGACTTCAACTCCCAGAATTCCTCAGCCAGCAAGGCTGGCTGAGGAATTCTGGGAGTTGAAGTCCACACAAGTCTTAAAAGTTGCTAAGGCTGGAAAGTTGACAAGGTTGGAGACCCTGATCTAGAAGGAGCTTCTCCTTTGATGGTCTAGAACAGAGGTAGGGAACTATGGCCCCTTTATAACTTGTGGACTTCAACTCCTAGAATTCCTGAGCTGGGAGTTGAAGTCCACAAGTCATAAAGGGGTCATAACCAGCATGGCTGGCTGAGGAATTCTGGGAATGGAAGTCCACAAGCCATGAAAGGGCCATAGCCAGCGTGGCTCCCTCAAGAATTCTGGGAGTTGAAGTCTACAAAGCATAAAGTGGGTGATAGCCAGAGCAGCTACCTCAGGAATTCTGACGGTTGAAGTCCATAAGCCATAAAGGGGCCATAGACAGCATGGTTGACTGAGGAATTCTGGGAGTTGAAGTCCACAAGCCATGAAAGGGCCATAGTTCCCCACCTCTGATCTAGATGGGGACAATTTTGCTGCTCCTTCTAGATCTTGGCCAGATGGAAGGACATCCTCAAATGGCCGCAAAGTCAAGATGGCGGCTGCCACCATGCGATCCAGCCGAGGTGGACCAAGGCCAGGTCTCTCCCGCCTCCGATATGTTCCTGCAGGTGCCGGTTCTTCTTCTTCTTCCTAAACCCACCGGGACCCCCGGTTTCTTCCCCAGGATGCCGTGCGCCCCGATGATCCGAAAGATGACATTCCAGTGGAGAATTATGTCGCTCAGCGTTATATCGAGAACCCGTACTTAATAGGGGGTAAGTAGCCCGTTCGCCTGACCCAGAGACAGGTAGTCCTCGTCTTACGACCACAATGGAAGGCAACATTTCCATCGCTAAGCGAGACAGTTGTGAAGTAAGTTTCTCCCCATTGGACGAACTTTCTTGCCAACCGTCGTTAAGCGAATCACTGCAGTTGTTTTTAAGTTAGTAACATGGTCATTAAGTGAATCTGGCTTCCCTGTTGACTTTACTCCTCAGAAGGTCACAAAAAGATCACGTGACCCTGGGACACTGCGAACGTCATAAAGATGAGTAACCTGGTTGTTAAACGAATCTGGCTTTCCCCATTGACTTTGCTCGTCAGAAGGTCATAAAAAGAGGATCCCATGACTCCTGGACACCGCAACCATCATAAATATGAGTCAGTGGCCAAGCCTCCAAATTTTGATGGCGCGACCCTGGGAATCCTGCAACGGTTGTGTGAAAATGGTCACAAACCATTTTTTCCCCAGTGCTGCTGTTAAGTTTGAACGGTCACTAAACGAACCGTTGTAGAGGACTATCTGTACACCCAGCTTCCTAGCTAGTCTGGTTCTGAGTTCAAATTTCTTGGAAAGCATCTAATATCCGGCCCGAAGAACCAAGAAGGACGTGTATAGTTACTTTGGAGTACGATCCTTTATTGCTGTTTGCCTACAGACTGAATCTTGCCAGCGGTTAGTCCCGTGATGGCAAACCTACAGGTGGCGCACAGAGCCATTTGTGCGGGCATGTGAGCCCCACCCCTTTACCTGCACTGCATATGTGTGCACCTCCCAGCTGATTTTCAGCCCGTTTGACGCCATTTTTGCCCTCCTGAAGGCTCCAGGGAAGCCGCTGCAGCCTCGGGAGGCCAAAAAATGGACCTTCTGGAAATACCGGAAGTGACGAAACAGGCCCGTTTTTCGGCCTTCCGAGGCTGCAGAGGCTTCCCTCGAGCCCCCGGGAGGGCAAAAACGGCCTCAAACGGGCCAAAAATCAGCTGGGAGGTGCGCGTATGCGCAGTGCAGATAGAGGGGGGAGCGGGGGTGTTGCACACGCATGCGCAGGGAGGGCAGGGCGCATTGCATTGCATTGTGCGATGCTTTCGGCACACCACAACAAAAAGGTTCGCCATCACTGAGTTAGTCCTATCACTGCAATGGAGCCCTAGCGATTTCTGTTGCTAAGGAAGATGGTTGTTAAGTGAATTTTGCAGCATCCCCAAAGTGTCATCTGACCTGCTTTTGCGACCTTCTCAAAAGCAAAGTACGTGGGGAAGCCGGATTCACTTCACAACTGCATTACAGGTACTTCTCAACTTACGACACCAATGATCGTAAGACCGAAATTTCTGCCGTTAAGTGAGGTTAGCCCCATTTTATGTATGTATCATAGATCTCGCTCTCCATCTCTCTTTCCCTCCCTCTCTTTTCCTCCCTTCCTCCCTCTCTGTCCCTCCCTCTGTCCCTCCCTCCCTCCCTCTCTCTTTCCCTCCTTCCTTCTTTCCCTCCCTCCTTTTTCCTCCCTCCTACTTTTTTCCTCCCTCCCTTCCTCTTTCCCTCCCTCCCTCTTTCCCTCTCTCCCTCTTTTCCTCCCTTCGTTTTTTCCGCCTTCCTCTTTCCCTCCCTCCCTCCTTCTTTCCGTCCCTCCCTCTTTTCTGCCCTCTTTCCCTCCCTCCTTCTTTCCCTCCCTCCCTCCTTCTTTCCCTCCCTCCCTCTTTTTCCCTCCCTCCCTCTCTTTCCCTCCCTCCCTCTCTCTCCTTCCCTCCCTCCCTCCCTCTCTCCTGAGACCCCTTGAAGTTGCTTGGGATCCGCCGGGGAGACATCAGTCCATCTTTTGAGACCCCCGGAATGAAGGCGTCATATCACAGAACAACATTCATATAGAGTAACAGAGTTGGAAGGGACCACTGAGGTCTTCTAGTCCAACCTCTTACTGAAGCAGGAAGCCTATCCCATTCCGGACCAATGGCTGTCCCATCTCTTCTTAAAAACTTCCAGTTTTGGAGCATTTGCAACTTCTGGTGGCGGGCTGTTCCACCGGTTAATGTCAGGAAATTTCTCCTTAGTTCCAGGTTGCTTCTTTCATTGATTAGTTCCCATCGGTGATTGTTTTTCTTGACTTCAGGTGTTTTGGAGAATAGGGAGATCCTTCTTAATAAAATCCAATAAGTATTTTATAGATTTAATTGATTTATTTCCCTTTGTGTCCCAGGACGGAAATTTGATTTACGGGTCTACGTTTTGGTAATGTCGGTGAGTGAACCGTCCTTTCTCTCCCCACTCCAGTGGAAATGCTTTTTAATCAAATTCAAGGTTGGAGAAATGCTGGGAACACAGGCAGTCCTTGGTTTACGGCCACAACGGAGCCCAACATTTCCACTGTTAAGTGAAAAATTTCTCTTGTGAGCTTCGTGCCATGTTGCAACCTTTCTTGCCCCCGGTTGTTAAGTGAATCCCTCCAGTCGGTAAGTGAGTAACCCAGTTCTTAAGTGAATCACCACGGTTGTTAAACGAGTAATACAGTTAAGTCAATCCGGCTTCCCCATTGGCCTCGGTTTTCAGAAGGTCGCAAAAGGGGATCACGTCACGTGATCCTGGGACGCTGCGACCATCACAAATACGAGTCGGTGGCCAAGCACCTGAATTTTGATCATGTGACCAGGGGGAGACTGCAACGGTCATAAGTGTGAAAAATGGTCATGTCTCTTTTTTCCCCTCACTGTTGTAACTTTGAACGGCTCACTTGGGCTCCGGAGGCCCTCTGGAAGCCGGAAGCAGGCCCGTATCTGGACATCCGGAACTTTCCAGAAGGCCATTTTTCACCTTTCCCAGAGTCCGGAGGTTTCCCTTGGGCCTCTGGGAGGGCAGAAAGAGCCTCCCCCAGATCCCATAGGCCCTCCGGATGCCAGAAACAGGCCCGTTTCTGGACTTCCTGAAGGGCCATTTTTTGCCTTCCCCAGAGTCCAGAGGCT